GTCGTTTGGACGTTTTCGGCTTATCCTAGGTACCTCTGTGTCGCAGGTTAACATCCAATTTAGATTTCTTCAGGTAGGTTTGCGGGTTTTTTCCCGATGACCCTTTCCTTTTTTTGTTTTTGGATTCAGAAGGAGTCAATGCACTCTAGCCTCACTTATGTTTATCCCTTCTTCCAACAGTTGTTTAAGCCACCTTTTCGCTGTACCACTCATCTTCAACTTCCCAGAGGTACCTAAGTCCCTCTCCAGCGTGGCAATGGTATTTCTCCCACTTTTCCTTGGAGAGTAGAGGTACCTGCGAGCATTTGTTGCTTCCTAGGTCACAGACCCCCATCGACAAAATCATCCCATCGTTAAACATTTCGATTTACATTTCCCATCGTTTCACAGTACGATTTTACACTTATTTTTGTAGGATGTTCGAATCTCGATCATTTTAAATACGTATCCTATACGTAAAAAAACTGTTTTGATAAAGTGACGCAATCGCACGTGCGTACATTTCTTCAAATAATAATTTGGAGAAAATTATGGAAAAATTACGTCAATCTTTGAAATTTTTTTTTCCCATAAAATCACGTCAAGTTAAAAAATTCCCGTTTTCTATTTGATATTTCAAATTATAACATATATATGTATGTATGTATGTATAAATAACTAACTTCTTTTTTTTGTTAATTTAAAATGCAAATATTTTATTAAATATCGCAAATTTTTGGTTCGAAGACAAAAAAAGGAATTAATATTCAAACTTAAAACACTCAAAATATGCAGTCAAAATATCAAGTTTTCGAATTGAAGATTCAATGGCGTAATAAATTTGTTATTAACCCGCAAACCTATACCTATTAAGGTTAGTTTTAATCTTCTTTTCAACTTAATTTAACATGACGGTAATAATACCGCAAAAAAAAACATTTATTGTATAAAATTTTAAAAATATCCTTTTAGCTGGCGAATTCTTAATTTTTATTGCAATTTTAAATATGAATAGAAATATAGCGCTTGTAGCACATTTCGGAACCAGGAACGTGTCTCATGACATTCTATAATGTCTGAAACTGTTATTTTTGTTTGTTTATTAAATTAATTTTAAAAATATTTACGCCTTCTGTTGAAAATATTATTAAGAATTTGAAAATACGCTTACATTTTGAGCAAGTATTAATTTTAAAGTGATTCACATCTCCAAATTCGGTTACAGCCTGGTAGCTTAACTATATAAGTACATAAATATATATACATATGTACATTTGTAGGTATAAAATAATTTCAAATTTTTGGAATTTCCCATAAAAACTTGCTTTTTATTTATCATGTATAATTTAGCTGTAATAAAATAATTTCTGTGATTAAGTATTTTTCGTTTACCTTGAACTTTAAAATGTTTCTTACGTGACAATATTGAAATTTTAAAATAAAAAAATTTAAGGGCTAAAAAATAATTTAAAAATTGACTCTATTCTAGTATGCTTTCAATTTAAGATTATTAAAAATTTCATATTCATTTATGTATACGTTATTTAGTGTCTCACATTAAAATTTGAATAATGAATTTAAAATATTGACAATAATTTATTAATTAAAGTCATTCAACTTCAACATGACGTAAATTTATTGAAATAGTCATTAACAGATCAGCAATTGCATTCTATGTCATTTTTCTTTTGTAAATTTTAATTAAAGATTAATTGATTGAAAATTAACTATAAAATAAATGACATTTCAGATATGTAAGTATATACTTATTTAACTTACCTGCATAGAGGTTTGATATTTTTGTTATAGAACATTAAAATAACTGTAAACAATATTTTTTATTGACTTGTTTACAAAACACATACACACATGGATAGGTACATAAGAAGTTTTCAATTCATTTTAAAATCTTTAATTTGGGTGGTCTATTCAAAAATAGAAATTCTGTCAAATATTTTAAAAACTAATAATTAATTGAAAATTAATAATATTAGAGAATTTTTAAATTTGTATGATACTTTTTGACCATTTTTATACAAAAGTAATTTAGCTAGATAATTTAAATCACCTTCATATTAAAATTTCAAAAAAAAATGAAAATCGTTTATGAACGGCAGTAAAATTTCATGCAAAAAGAAAAAAAACAAAAAGAAAACCAGTTTTTTGCTCATCACTCCTTGCCTACAACAATTTTTTTAGCCTGATTTACAATTCAGTATAAAAAAAAATTTTCAGTAGAGACATTTTTAGCATATTGGCGAAATAATATTCTGTTAGCACATAAATTAAAAATTAATTAATTTAAATAAAAAAAAAAATAAAAATACGGAATTAAAAAAATTTCATTTTGCGGTAGCAAATATAGAAAACAGCAAAATTGTAAACTTAAAATTTTACACGTACAAAAGTTTTAATTTAATAAAAATTGAAATAAAAAAAACTTAAAATTTTACCAGAATATTTGCACGATAAGTTCAAATATTTTGTAAAAATTTTGTAAATTAAATTTATATTTTAATAAATTACATGTAAATGTAAAATATAAAAATTTTGCGTTATGCATCTTTAGAACAAAAAGCGAATAGCATTAAAAGAAGCACATCTGCTCAGTGGCAACTGGAGAATGGCACTGTTATAGGCACATATGTATGTCTATATGAAATATAAATTGTCCATATGAATTAAACAATTACATAGATATATGTACATATATGTAAATTAGAGCGCAGATACTTCTTGTAAAAATGAGTACACACCAGACATTTTGCTTAAAAGAATACTGATGAATTAAAAAGATATTGCAAATGAGATATTATTGATATCTCATTTGCAATATCTTTTGATCTAATGAGATCAATATGAATAATGAGATCAAAGTTAATTAAACGTAATTTGTTAAGGTTTTACTAATTACTAATTCTTACCTCATTTACTTATATATTTTGTATGTACATATAAATAAATATTTGACAAACAAAAGTATAACATTCTCGTCACATATTCCACAAACTGACGTCATTTATTTAATTTCAATGACTAAATGCTAAACATAACAAATTTTAATCTCCAATTATTATTAATTTGATACGTCTATAAAATAAACAAAAAAATTTTATTAAAATTATTCGGCATTACATACTTATTACTAATTATACATAGTACATAATATATAGCTTTTATTTTATAACTGTTGACAGGAAACAACAATAATTTTCCAGTAAAAATTAATACGAATTGATAAGAATGAATAAAATATCCTTTAGGTGGTGACAGATTTTCTGATATGATTGAATTATTCATGAAAATTATAAGGTGTGTCTGTTATAAGAACGTTTTTAAAAACTTTATAAAGTTTTTGCATGCAAAGTGTCTAAGCTAATACATTTCGAACAAAAATGAGAGAAAATGATGACGTTTTCATTTTCTCAAGATTTAAAATTTTTTCAAGTTTTGTAAAGTAAAATTTTATGTTTTAAACACTTTTATAGTCTTAAAGCTGTCAAAACATGTTTTTCTTGGTTATGTCAGAAGGTTTTATTTTTCAAAAACAAATTTTTTGAAAGTGTTTCCAACCATTTTTTTTTTTCTTTTTCGTTTCAAGTTTTATACCAAGCAGATTATACTATTATTATGATTAAAGAATAAATATCCTAAATTAAATCATAAAATTAATCAGGTGTTGCCATTTTACGTAACAAATCTAATAATAAATTTACATACTTCAATTAATTTTTCCATATTTTTATAATTAAATAAAAATCGTTTTTTGTTATGCTTCACAAAATCAATTTCACTTTACTCTTAGATGGATCAAAATAATAATTTTATTGTGATTTAAATTTGCTGCAATATTAACCGTAAAATTAAAGAGTATAAATAGAAATTTTGACAATATATGCAAGGAAAATACATTTAAAAATGAGAAATGGATTTGAAAATGAGAAATGGATTTGACAGTACAATTATCATGAAAATATTTATTCGATTTTTCCATTATTATTATTAGAAGAATAACAAGTATGATATTATGCAATTTAAAAGTTTTGGTTTAAATGACCAAACCCTAAAATAAATCTTTACTTTTAAAAGAGAAAAGAAGCTTTTATAAAAAGTTGTTTTCACATAACCTCATTTTTTGTTTGGAAAATTCAACAAAACCAAAAATAATAATAATTTCAAGACCATCTTAATTTGTTTAAAATGTTTTTAATAAATCAACGAATTTTTTTCATTCCATGTAAATATAGTACATATACAAACAAGTTAGGTATAAATTAATAAACTTGTAAAATTAGAAAAGAAAATTTTATAAGATAAAAGTTCATGAGTTCAAGTTTCAGTATGTGTTCATTCATTATTAATTTGTTGTCAATTTTTATATATACATACATATGAACGTACGTTTAGTGAACAATTTGCTTGTAAAATTATTTTTGGTTTTGAAGAGAGAATAATAATACACTTCTTCAAATTCTATACAAATTCAGTGTACTGAATGTGTTGTAAAAGTGGTATAACGGTATGCCAACCAAAATTTTTTCATAAATGATTAACCCCAAACAGTGAGCATAGGTAAAAAATATATAGACATGATAGCTGACTGGTTTAATAAAATTCTTTAATTTAAGTTTCCTTCTTCACTCCTAGGAGGAGTATAGGGCTAGTGCATAATATCTATCATGCCCTAGTTTCTATAGTCATAGAGAGTTAGCTAGGTAGATGACTAGCCGACCGTAGATTTTTTTTTTTTTTTTTTTTTTATTAAATATTTTCAGTTTATTAATATTTACTGTTTATTTTTCTTAGTCTTTAGTATCGAATATTATGAATATTGGAAAAAAAAAAATTTAAGATTTCCGTCCGTTAATTGGTTTAACATCCTAAATTTTTTAATTTTAGTACTTTTTAGATTCTAGTACAATTTCTTTTGTTTTATCAAATTTGTGCATTTCTTTAGCATCAAAGTATTATTTTGGAACAAATTTTTATTTACCATTATACTATTTTTTTTTTATTTTCAGATAAACTTGAATAAAATTTTAAAGAAAAATATTATAAAAATATAATTAAAATGCAACGAAGCCATTTTTGGCTGTTAAGTTGTGTTTGTATAGCGTTATTGATTAATTCAATTAATGCTAGTACAACACATAAACCAAGTGAAGCTGATCATCATGAAAATTTAATTGAATATAGTAAATCTCCATCCATACAAAAATTCGATGATTTAGATGATGATGACAGTCTTAAAGAAACAACACATAAAATTTTATTGAAAAAAATTGATTCAATAAATTCAATTAAAAAAGATGATAAAATTACAAAATCTGATTTTGGTATTGTACAAAAACCAACAACAATAAAAAAAATAATTGCTGATTCAAAGAAAATTCCATTAGCAGATGATCCAAGGTAAAATATAAAAAAAATCATTCAAATTAAATTCGAGCACCCTACTCATAATTTAAATTAAATTGCATTCTACTTAAATTGCAAAGTCCGAGTAGAAAATTTCTAACTAATTCTTAATTTAATTTTTGCTTTATATTAAACAGATTCAATAAAATGTTACCAGAAAAGAATACCATTAAGGATAATTCTAATAAAGATTCGAAAAAGGATGCTGAATCAGATAGTGAATACGATTATGATGATGATGACGACTATGATGAATACTATGATCAATTATATGTTGAATCATCAGCTGAAAATAAAAATAATAAAACTGTGACTACACAAAAACCCAAAAAAGAAATGAAATTAAAACCGATCAGAGGAGATGACAAGGTAAAAATTATTGTAAATTTATTGCTTATATTAAATTTTATTCTTACATAATTCAATAAACAGTAGGTATTTAAAATAATTTAAAATTATTTTGGTTTTTTTTAAAATAAAGGATATTCCAAAAGAAGATAAGAAAACTAACAAAAAAAAAGACGATTATGAAGATGATGACGAAGAGGATGATGACGACAATAACGATGATGAAGAAGTAGTTTATAGTAATAATGTTTCATGCCCAAGAGATTGTATTTGTGATCGTAATTTGAATAGTGAAAAAGTTGCAACGTGCAGTAGGTATAAAATCAAAAAAATTCAGTTTTAATTTTTAAATAAAAATTTTTTGAATATTCAATTATTTAAATACTTTGTTTTTGTAGATTGGATGCAGATATACAAAAATTCGGATCTGATATAACTGATTTAGTGGTTGTTGATGTTGGACCAAAATATCCAATAATATTAGGACCATCATTTTTCATAAATATTGGTTTGAAAAATTTGAATTCATTGAAAATTTCAAATTGTACCCTAGAGCAATTGAATCCAAGTGCATTCCATGGTTTAACTGAACTATTCGCTGTTAATTTAACAAATGTTGGTATTACACATATTGATCCTGATACATTTGCATCAAATAAACGATTACGTTTATTAACAATTTCTGGAAACGATTTAAGTTCAATGACTTCATTCCGTACAAGAACAGAATATTTAATTAAGGTATTTATCATATAAAAAAACTAACTTGAACAGAAATTATAAAAAAAATTTGTGTTTTCCTTTAAATGAGGTGTGCTTGTTTTTTTATTAATTTTCAAACTGAAATTAATGTCCGTATTTTTGAAATTGACTTTAGTCAATTTTTGTAATCATTTCCAATTATAACTGATTTTTTTTCTAATATTCCTTTTTAGTCATCAAGCATCGAAGAATTGGATTTATCAAATAATAATTTCAAGGAAATTCAACCGAACGCATTTATTCACTTACCAAATATTGTATATATAAATTTAGCACAAAATGAATTGAAAACTTTACCAGAAAATTTATTCAATTCAGTTGAAACAATTGAAGATTTAGATTTGTCACATAATAAAATAACATTTTTACCCCCGGATATATTTAAAAGAACTGCATTAGCACGTTTAGATTTGAAATACAATGATATTATTGGTGATTTAAGATTTGGTACCGGTGATTTACAAGAATTAGATTTATCATATTGTTCAATAAAACTTATTAATAACCATATGTTTAATAAAATGACCGGTTTACTAACATTGGATCTTAAAGGCAATGGTATTGTTAAAGTACAACCGGATTCCTTTACATCATTAAATTATTTGAGACATATTGATTTATCATACAATAATTTAGAACAACTAAGCTCAATGTTATTCTATAAAAATCCAAATTTAGATGTTATACGTTTAAATGATAATTCCAAATTAAGTGAATTACCACCAGATGGATTCCAAAGTTTTACACGTGTTTTTGCGGTTTATTTATTGGATATATCAAATTGTGCTATTAACGCACTAGGTGAAAGTACCTTTTCTCAAATGCCACATTTAACAACATTGAAATTATCATGGAATAATATTAATAACATGCATAGAAATGCTTTCGGAAATTTAAAACAATTAACAGAACTGGATTTAAGTAATAATTTAATTGTTAAATTGGATGAAACATTATTTAGAAATAATAAACAAATGTCAAAATTGAATTTATCGGGTAATCCAATTCGAAATATTTCAACAAAATTATTCCAAACGAATACAAAATTACATGAATTAGATGTTAGCGATTGTGAGTTACACAATGTACTGGAAGATTATTATTATGATAATCAACAAAATTTGACAACTGCGTTCTTTGATACTCTAAGAGTATTTAATATTTCGTTTAATAAAATTAAAAAGATATCGAAGAAAAATTTACGCCTCTTCAAAAATCTAAAAACATTCTCATTTGAAGGCAATCTATTAAAATGTAATGATGAATTTAAAGGATTAATTAAATACTTAATACAAAAAGGAATTTATTCTGGTAGAGTGATTGAAAAATCAGTATTAGATATACCATTCAAATTACCAGCTCATACATTACAAGGATGGGATGAAATTATACAGACAGTATGTAAACGTGAAAATGAAAAATTAAAACTTAGAAATCAAAAAACAATACGTTTTGACACCGATAATAGTAATAATGAAGAAAATGAAGAAGATGAAGAAGAAGAAATCGAAAATGATGAGAATAATAAGAAAGATATATTCGCAATAAAGAAAAAAGTACCAACAAAAGAGCAAGGAAAAAAAATTTTAGATGGGCTAAAAGAAGAAGAAAATGTAAATAACGGTAAAAATAAGGACAAGAATAACGCTGCTGAAGAAAAAGAAAGTGATGAGAATGAAAATGATGACAGTGATGACAATGATGAATCCGACACTGATGAAGAAAATGATGACGACAATGACGAGGAAGAAGAAGAAGATAACAGTAAAGAAGAAGATGATGATGATGGAAATGATGATGAATACAATGATGAATACGATTATGAGGAAGATAAAAAGAACAAAATTAAAGTTACATCAAGTACAAAATTACCAAGAATTAAAAATATTGGCTTATTTGTTGATGAAGTGAATGTAATTAGAGAAACTGATGATAAATTTTTAAGAGGTGAATATAAAACAAAATTTTTATTTGAACTATAATTTATAATTTTACAAAAATACTCGATAACTCGATTCTTAGCAAATTTTAATTTCCAAGCACAAACTAAATCTTTTTTTTTTGCCGAAGATAAAACTTAACTTCGAAAGAAAGAGTTACAACTCCTCTTTCGATTTCTTTATTACCATACTTAAAAAATAAAATTTTTAGATTATCGAGGTTTTACAAATAGTTTTGAATTGTAATTATTAAAAATTTATTTTTTTTTAAATTCAAATCCATTCATAATTTGTAAATTATAATTAAAATATTAAAGTAAAATAAATAATTTAATGGAAAAAAATTTTATAATTTTAGGAAAACTTCTTACTGATGATGATCTTGAAGATGATGGCGAAGAAATAATTATTCAACATGGTCGCATATATTATGAAAATTATAGATATCTTAAAATAGCCGCCGTTCTTCTTATTATATTTTCATTATTATTATTAATAATTGGTAAAATTATAACAATAATAAGAAGAAAACGTGGTGAACGTTACCGTATGGCAATATTGGCATCGAAAAATTCAATTGTTTATAAAAAATTATCTGAGGAAATTACAAAACCGGTCAATAAAAATCCAAAAGTTCATCGATATTTAAGAATAAATCAAGTATAAGAAAGGAATATGAATAAAATTTTCAGAATCCACTTATTATTCAATTGAAAATCGAACAGAAAAACCAATTGATAACATTATTGTCTCATAAAATTAATAAATAAAAACTGTTGAAATTTATTTTTTAATAAGAGAAATTTACTTATTAAAACTAAAATAATACAAATAATTCCGATTTTCATTTTTTTTTTAATTTTACATATTTAATTTTGTTTGTTTGATCACTATTTTTTGCTCTTTCTTAATTCCAAATTGAATTTATACCAATAATAAAAAAAATAAATTTCAATTTTTGATTAATTGATAATGTAATTTTTTTTTTTTGTATTTTAAGTGATTTGAAATAATTTTTATATAAATTTACATTATTTGTATACAAATAAGTAAAAATGTATTTATATATATATATATATATATATATATATATATATGAATTAGAAATAACTTAGAAATAAATTATGAGCCATACTTCAAATAATTTTCAACATATTACGACAGATAGAAATTTTTTAAAAATTAATCTTTGAATATTTACGAGTAATAATAAATTCTATGGAACTTCGGAGTTGAACAGAAATTATTGCATTTCGAAATTTTTAAAACTATATATTTATATGAATGTAAATAATCCTAAATATGATGCACTTGTAACTTTGATTGATGCATGAAAATAACTATCATATCCTTTTCATGTGCATGTATATGAATTGAAGTAACTAAAAGATGTCAAATTTATTCTTCCAATTTCGTTTTAATTACATAGAAGCGGTTTATATATGATGGACTCTTTTTATAAATATTAAAAACATGAAAACATATTTATATGTTGATCTACATTATATATTAAAAAGTGTACTTAATTTGAAATTTAATAAAAAAATTCCCACATAATCATACCACAAACTTCCAATTACTAATATTTTTTTCCATATTTTTTAATTATTTTAATGTTTAAGAAATTTTTTTTAGCAATTATTTTATTTTAATGCCTTATACTTATGAACTTTTAGAAGAAAACACAAAAACTTGAGATGATAACATTTTGTATTGTATTTTATTTTTGTTAAAACAAAAATTTTTTTAATTTTTATCTAATGGAATCTTTACGTTACATTCCCCTGATATTTTATAACAAATTTAGGTTAAAAAAAAAATATATAAAAAATCGAAAATGTGTTTTTTATTTTTTTTTTATTTATTATTTTAGATGAAATTTCGACCATATGGGAAGTTAACAGGAACTGGCAAATCATTACTTAATCCAAAAAATAAAATTGGTTACAAAACACCGCCAGTTTAACTCTATGATCTTATAAATATTTGCATGTAAATCCAAAATTTATGCATAAAATACAGTTTGGTTCTTCTATAGAAATAAGATTTATCAAGTTCCAATACAATACCAAAACAATTGTATTTCATACCTATCTGGTAAACTATGGGAAGAGTTTCGAATTTGTAACAATACTTTTTAAAAAATTTTATTTTATTTAACTTTGATTAACAATTTTTTTTAATTTATGAGACGATTTTGATTAATCACATGCAAATAAGTTAGTAAACTTCCATTGAATTTTTAAACAAACTTGATAAATCTTCACAACTTTGTTCTTTAGGTGCTAATTTTATAATTCGCTCCTGGAATCAAGATATAATACTTATAAACATTTTTTTTTAATGCACAGGCTTTTAAACAATACCTGTGGCAGAGTTCCCTGTACCAAATCTGGTATATCTTCACTATTGAAACCCAAAGCTTTTAATCCATTTTCTATTTTCATTTTAAACATATACTCTCTAATTGTATCAGCTAAAATTTTCCCAGCGTCATTTAATTTGGCCTGAAACAATTAATAAAAATCTGCTATGTATTGTTAAAAAAAGGAAACAAACATAATATGGAAAGAAGTTAAAAAACACATGAATAAAAACTTTCTAGACATACATTTGAGACATCTTTTCCTAGGATAGCTGCTGCTTCTATATGTCTTTCTGGACAAGCCGGTCCAGTAAATTCAAAAACACTTGGAGCTGTTATAACAACTGATAAACCGTGAGGGATAATAGGGTGATCTTTACTGTAGTCATTTGGAAAATGATTTCGAACTTTCCCTGATATAGGGTAAGATAATCCATGGCATAAATGTACGCCTGCGTTTCCAAAACCTACTCCAGCCATTGTTGATGCCAAATGCATTTGAGATCGTGCTTTCAAATTGTCTGGCTCATATACAGCAGAGTGAAAATATTTTTTTATTATATTTAAAGCAAATCTTGCCCAAACATCAGATATAGGATTACGCCCCTGATATGGTGGTCGTAAATTTGGATGGCTAGGAGCCGGACCACGATCTGTGTATGGAACTGCAGTAAAACTTTCCAGAGCATGACAAAATACATCGAATCCACTATACACCGTTACTCTTTCAGGTAATGACATTGTATGTAATGGATCAATTAGACCTTAAAAATAAGCATTTGTTTATTCCAACCAAAAAACAAAGAAACTGAGGTAAATTAATATTATGTCCTCAAGTTTACTAAATGTTAAATAATGTTATACGCTTACATAATATGCAAACATGAGAGAACATACTCTTTCAAAAATATTTACATTTTCAAGATTACTTACCTAATTGCGGCTTTAAAAATTTGCTAGAAATTCCAGTTTTTATATGTTTCTCCTTAAAATCAAATATCGCAACACCAGTTGTCTCCGAGCCCGTTCCTGAAGTTGTTGGAATTGCAATCATTGGTTTCAAGGGCTTGTCAATCTAATATGTTAAAGTTAGAAAGCATCTGCATTATAAGTATAGATTTTCTTAATAATTATAAAATTAACTGATTTAGCATTTCCGATAGGAGCATTGACATATGTTAAAAACTCTGCATCCGGGTTACATGAATATAAATTTGCAGCTTTGCACGTGTCGATTGTAGATCCACCTCCAATAGCAATGAATGCATCAAATTTTTTACCTTTAGCAAAATTTGATGCACTCCAAAAACTTTTGAAAAGGAAAAAATTTCATTTTACTATAACTGATAATTTTGAATTCCAAAATACCTATCGTCAGTCGGTTCAACTCTTGTTTCATCAAATAATTCATAATTAATTTTATGTTTTGAAAGTGAATCCAATGCCGTTTTTACACTTTTCAATTGAATTACATTTTTGTCAGATACGAGGCATACATTCTTAGCGCCAATAGTTTCTAAATCTCCACCTAATTCGGATGAAACTCCTGGGCCAAATCTCACAGTAGAAGAAGACATCTTAAAGTTTTGATATTAATGTAGAAATGATTCAGGATGACTTGAATTTTACTAATAATATTAATATGAAATTAAATATTATTGATTCAGAAAGTGTTATATATTCATATGTAAGTGCTTACATTTGAACATATAACAACACAATGTACCTATGTGGGCATGTAGGTACATATATTACCGATCGGTCTTTTCTACTTACATAAATATAAAGGTTCAAGTGTATCGTTTCGTTTAATTCATTTCTGAACTCACCTCAAAAGCATATTCCTTTTTCTGCGATCTGCCAGTACTTGATCCATAGTTGGTAGAATGAGCTGGACATTTACATCTTAAAGAGAACCAAAATTTTATTTTACTTTTCATTTTCAAAAATGTTTTATCTTAGTGAACCTACGATGCTGCTGAAACTAAATTCAATAAATTTAGAACTTGATGTCTTGAAATCATGATTCTTCCAGGTGTAAGCGGATTAAATCAAATTTATATCACATTCGAAAAAATATAAAGTAAATTTGATGATCATTAGCAGGTTGCTGTCTTGTTGATAAGATCACAGTGTAAAATCCAATTATAACGCAAAATAAAATCAAAATAAAAATCCACGATTCAAGTACGATTCACCTGTTGAGAGTTAATGAAACTAATTTTAGTGGTTGAAATCTACGATTTTTTTCCAAAAATGTTAATCGGTGTATCTTTACAGTGTTCACACTATTAAAAATAAATAACATGTTATTCCCGAATAGATTGGCTAAATTTCTAGAACTTTCATAATAAACTCGGTCAGTACTCTTATTTTCAACATAAAACTTTTAACAATATAGAATATAATACCCTACTCACAATACAACGAATAGCAATAACATGTTATGCATAGTGTTTTAACTACAAATTTCTTACAGAAAAAATTTGTCAAAGTAAAATATGTTTTCCTATTGTGAATGCTTTGTTTTCGGGATTTTTTTCCCAAACTTTGAAAGAAACCTAAAAAAATTTTTAAAAAAATTTAAATCCATAATGATTTTTGGTAAATTGAAAAGCAAAAATATTTTAAAATTCAAAAGCATTTTTTCAAAATTTTTAAATAAAAAAATTTTCCTTTTTCACAAGGAATATGTGAAGAGCCTCACATATTTTCTATGAAAAAATTAATACTAATAGAAATATGATTGTGAATGATAACTTACTACAGATATCGATTGCGATTTGTGAACTAAGGCGAATTAAAAGGAGATTTAAAATTTTCGTGTTTTTATATTAAGTGTCAAAAATTTGTAGCCATGTTTATAATGTACACGTGCGTTTCTGTCATAATGCCTTTTTTCTTGACATTTCAAATCCAATTAATGAAGCAAAAATAAATTAGGAATCATTTTTAAATTTTGAAGCCTTTATTTGTTAATCTAGTGAAAGTGAAAAAAAGGTAGAAATCAAAAAAATGGTGGTATTTACTTGCAATCATTGTGGAGATTCTGTAAAAAAACCTTCCGTAGTTAAACATTATGCCACAAAATGTAGAGGAAATCCTATATTTTTAACTTGTATGGACTGCCAAAAGGTAAAAAATAACTTAGTAAATTTTAAAAAAGTATTTCATTATTAATAATGTCTCAGGATTTTAAAGACAAAGAACATGACGGGCATACAAAATGCATTTCTGAAGCTGAAAGATATTCCGGTAAAGATTACGTAGCAAAACCAGGGCAAAACAAAGGACAAAAGAAACAGGACAATTGGATAGAAACAATTCGTTCACTTTCGACTAATAAAGATAAAGTAGATCCTAAATTGAGAAATGTGTTTTCTCGCTTAAAGTCATTTGAGAACATACCAAGGAAAAAAGCGAAATTTCAAAATTTTGTAACAAATAGTTTTAAAATTCAGATGTCAATTGCAATGAAAGTATGGGATGTCTTGGAAAACGAGTTACAAGAATTAAAAATGAAAAATGGAGCGAACGAAAATAAGGAAAATGAAATTGAAAAATCTGATTCTCAGCAACAAAGTGAAAACCTGGAAAATAATGATAAGGCTGATGTTGGTAAAAAACCAAGCAAGAGAAAGAAGGATTCACAAAATAACCTTGAATGTGCAAATCTGGAAACTGGTGAACCAATTAAGAAAAAAAAGAAAAAGAATAAAACTGAAAAAACTAATGACCAGAAGGAAGATTCAAAATATAATTCAGACAACAAAATTAAAAACATCGAAAATCTAACTTTCGATGAATCAGATACAGTAGTAGTAACGAATGGTGTAACAAAAAAAAACAAAAAGAAAAACAAACTTGTTGAAATGGACAGCAATGAAAATATCAATGGAGACACTTTTGAAAATGGTGTTAAAAATAAAAAATCCAAAAAGAATAAAATTGTAGACAAAGATACAATTACAAATGGGACTGCTCATATTATTGAAAATGAGGAGCCAATAAAAAAGAAGAAAAAAACTGATGAAAACATTGAAATATCAAATCACGAAATATCTAATAACAAATTTGACTGGTTTTTATACATAAATAAATGTGCTGCTGATGGGATGAATGTGAGTAAACTTAAAGATAAAGTATTGAAAAAATATAAAAAACAAAATCCTGACGGTGAAATTACTAATAAAGTAGAAAAAACTTTTAAAAAATATTTAAAGAAATCGGGACTTCTAATAGAAGATGATATTGTTAAGATAGATAGCTAAACTTTTAAAAAGGTATTAAAAATTAAAAAGTTTAAACTGTTTGTTTTATTTTTAAAATCGAAAAAATTTTTCAATGTTATTTGAACTACGTTTGTTCATCGTATTTTAACACGGACTTATCATATGCTACGTTTAGGAAATTTGCCTTGCTTCAGTTTATTTATGAAGGATCTTGTTGATAAAATATTGCAATCTTAAGAAAGCAAAGTTAGGTACCCACTAAATTTGTTTTTAAATTATCTATAAATTATACTTATGTTCTAAATTGTTTCTTATTAAAATATGTAGTTGTACTTTCCCGAAAATAAGAGGAGTGGGGATACACACATAATTATACAAAAGACAACCGTTCGATTAAGCTGTCTTGATGCCTCCTAACATTTAATTATTTTATTAAATTGCTTGAATAAATACTTGAATATGCAATTAATAATTTTTTAACAGCTAATCAACACTTAAGTATGTGTAAAATTAAGATTTACACTTATTATATATGTATATGAAATAAATAAGGAGTAATTTACAAATAAACATAATTCCTGGTCATTTCATTAAACTTTTTTGCATCACATATTTTACAATCAAACTTACATAACGTGTACTTATTTCGAATTATAATAATATGTATTTTACATTATTAACAATTAAACTGATTACAAAAAATAAAAGAACTACTAAAGGTTACCATATCTATACCTTTTAGATAAAAATAAAGATATATGTACATAATTTTTGCTGGATGCTAACAACAAAATTGAATAAAGCAATATGATTATACTTTAATGATATATAACTTGAATATAATTTGCAATGAACTCCACAATAAATCCCTGAACCTAAGCATAACATTCACAAAAAATGCATGTATTATTCTTTTTTGTGATTATTACTATTATATCATACACCTTTATTTACATATATTTATCACATACTCATTATTACCTAAAGTATCACTTTCTATTTCTCATGCTAGAGTCATTGAAAATTGATACCTACATGATTTTATTATGCTCTATAGAAAAATAAGATTCTTAGATTTTATATTTTGTTTCATTTATTTTAAACGTATGCATGCGCTGATAACTTTCTGTTTTATCTTGACTTAATTATAATTAACTTTTGAAGATACATTTACTAACAAAACAATCATTAAATCGTATTAAATTACATTAGAACTTACAAAGTTTTTTTTGTTTTGAAAAATATTGTAAATTGTACGTAAGGTATGATAGAACGTGAAGGCATTTACTACATTTTTAAGTTATTTTACATATAAAATGAAGCCCATTGCAAAAATCGTTGATTTTACAGATTCCCAAATGAAATTTCTTTAAATACAAAATATTTATAAACGTAAATTACTTTCGTAATTAAAGTAAAACCTTATTTATAAAAAAAATTTATTTGACAGGCACAATTTCCATAAACTCTGACTGATTGTACTTATTTGCTATGTCCCATAACTTCGAAGACATTTGAAGACTAACTGGATTACTTACGATTAGTTTCAATGCGTGAAACGAAGTCCATAATATCATTTTACATGGGAAATTATTCTTTTTATATAATTATTGTTTTGCTTCTTTTTAAAATAATTGTGATTAATGAAATGTAGAACACTCTTAATTTTAGAATAAAAAATTAAGAAGAACGAATCAAAATGTAAATGATCTACATAACAAATTATACACACATCTATTATACATATTCGAGGTATCATTTACCATTAACTAACGATAATGATATAAAAGGAGCATTTAAATTTTTTATCTTTAGTGTTCTATTGGACATAAATTCGAATAGACTTAAAAAAAAACTTCATTAATTATACTTTGTCTAAAAAAATCTATTTGTTCAAAATGAAATGGTTTAATATTCCTCTTGCTATATTTTTTGCGATGATGTGCCTCGCAAATTTATCTACTGCCGGTTATATAGTGACACGTCCAGTTGTTGTTGTACGACATCCACCTGCTATTGTTAAAACAATTCATCCAGCTGTTGTTGTTCACAGACCTGCTCTTGTTTATGGGCACATTTCACATCTTTAATTCAACATATCGCAACTTTAAAACTAAAAAGTTTGATGGACCAAATTAATCATAAACATTTTCGAATGTCACAACGCCACCATGTTTTTATATGATGAAATGGTTTCAATTTTGTTGAATAATAAAAACAAAAAATGAATTTAAAAGTTCAATATAAAATTTTGTTGTTTTATTTGGTTTTTTGAATAAAGAATCTACAATGCTATTAACTAAAGCTGTTTAAAAGATAAATATGAGTTAAAGGATAATATAACGTTTTGCTTTTATGAAATATTAATCGTATTATGTATAGAATGTAGTTAAATATAAATCAAGTTGACTTTAGATCCCGCGTTAGATTGTATTTGGCGTTATTATTACATTAAGATAGACGAAATCAAAATTATAACCGTTAAAGGTCCTTAACAGGATCATAATATTTCATTCAGACTCATAAATTTTTTTTTCTACAAAAAACAAATTATTAATCAAACTAATTTTTTAAGTAAGTATTCTTTAGAAATATCGATTATTACATACTGAAAAAATTAAGAGATGCTATTGAAGAAATTACTCAAAGAAAATTGCAACATCAAGCATAGAGCCTTACAAAACTCCACTTACAAGGAAATTGCGATGTAAATTACGAAAGGATCATATAGAGTCGAATATGCTTAAATAATTTTAGTCATATTATGTACATTACAAAGTTGCAAAATAATTACAAACTACTAAATTTATCGAACATTGAAAAAAACAAGACATTTTTCACAGAGGTTTACTTAATACAACGTTTTCAATACGATTTATAGTATTCCAATTTGTATGAGAATTTCACATACTTAATTATAGTAATAAAGCTTTCACTAAGTATATTATATAAACTAGAATAAAAAAAAACTGAATATTCTAAACTTAAACTTAGACTATTTTTTAAAAATGACAATAACTTTAAAACATTTTTTTTTATGTGTGACATTTTTGAAATTCATTAAACAGTTTGAAATTATGTCAAATTAATAGTAATTGTTGTCATTTTGATATTTCCGTTTGCATAGTGTTCTTAATTTCATAAAAGTCTTAGTGATATAATTATGAGAACTTTATGAATACGCATTTTAATTTATTTATTGACGTTAATTTCAATATTCTTATTCAAAATTAGTATAAAAACGAATAGTAAAAATTTTAATAAGTGTAGTTTTAAAAGGTTTTTCATTATCTAAACGCATTTCTTAAACGAAGTTTATTAAAATACAATTACGAATTTCTTTGTCATTTAATAAACCCGTAAGAGTTAAAAGGATTTCTTTACAACAATCAAAATGAAGTGGCTTTCAATCTTCTATATATTTAGTTTATTGGCAATGATATCAACATTGACAATGGCAGAACCACTTGGTAATGCACGAAATAAACAAAAACAACAAAAACCGCAACAGTCACGCATCGATGATAACAGAGCTGGTGATTTCAATTTCTAACCGTATATTTCTCATATTTCAAACTGGAAATTTAAAAAAAGAAAAATATGATATCAATAATAAAATTACACCCTCATATGTACATACATATATGTAGGAATGCGTACATATATGAACAAGGTATAAAAGCTTAAAATTGGACTTTAAATAATATTTAAAAATTTATTCAAAATTTAGTTATTAAAATTTAATTCAATTAAATAAAAAAGGAATTGTATTGCAGCTAGTAAAAAATTTTTCAGACTTTTTTTATTAAATAAAAATTTAATTAAGAATTGTGTTAAGGTTCAAACCAGTGAAATCAAAAATATTTGGCAGTGTAATTGGAGAAATGTTTTGAAAATACAATCTTCATTAATTGTTCAAAGGACAGTAGTTGAATTCATAACAAACCTTTTGGAAAATAGAGAATTACAAACTGGTACTAGATGGTTTGAAGATCTTATTCACTTATCTAAATTAAGGAAAGAAATTGTTATATCAGTTTAGATTTCATCAGATTAAGAAAATTATTTAATCTTTTTATACCCATATTGTAAAAGTCTAAACCCAAATGATTATTTAAAATTTCATAAAACAAAACGTCATCGAACAGAAAATTGTTCCTTGATTGTTGATTGGATTGTTTAAATTGCTGAAAATTAAGTTTCCTACAAATACAATCTAAGTAATTACTATTTACTTATATTTTCTTAACAAATTGGGAATTTCTTATAATTATAGAGCTTACTTTTTATTATTGTTAATTCATAAAATTTGTATTTTTCTTGAATGAATCTTTTCATCTACACTGTATACAAAATGAAAAAATACAATTGACACGTCTTACGAAGAATGAATCAAACGTAATGATACAGCGAAATTTATTTTGATCCGAAATACTATTTCATAGATAAAACCGGATCTTTTAAAGATGGACTCCTAGACGTAGGACGTTGGCAAATAAAGAAGTGGTTTTGTTTAATTTATTAAAAGTTTTCACATTACATTATAGCATACATTATAAGATTCACCCTCAATTATTGGTTTTTAATTAAAGTAAATAATAAAATATTTGATTTATAAGAAACCCGGATTTAACATTTGTACAAACATACATTCATACATATATAAAATTTGGTAGACAACGATGAACTTATCTAGATAAAATTTGAAAATTAATGACTTTAAAATGAAAATTATATAGTGGGAAATTGTAAAGTTGGTATAATAAAATATGATTATAAAATATGATAACAAATTGTAGGTATGATATAAATTTAGCATTCCGTTTATAACACTAAGATATAATAGTATATTTCACAAACACACATACAAATATATATTGCAAGTTCACCTCTCATGTCAATTTCACCAAATTTTCATATGAAATTTACAATAGTAAATGCTTGAATTCTTTTCAATGCGATAGGAACGGTTGTAATGCTGAAAACTGTCAAATTTGATCCAATCTTGAAAGATACTTTGTTTAGTAGTGGAACTGATTGTTTATGATATTTACCTGGCAAGTTTAATAATAATTTCCTTATACACCAGAAGGTGTATTACCTTATTGCAGTTCTCATACACCTCTAACCCAGTGTTCGTAGTTATTAATATCACGAATTGAAATGGTCAATTAAGAGCTAAGTGAAATACTTTTCACTATAATTTTTATGTTACCAATACCTTTAGAAATTTATTGCATATATCCAAACATGTATTATGACGTCATTTTTACAGTAAATCTTGTCGGTTCTTCACCACTTTAATTTGCTTTTAATTCGCTACAGACTTACACATATTGAAACACTTATAATCTCGTTATAACAAATAGTATAATCTTCCTATTATATGAATAAGTATGTAATTTTCCACTATCCCTTAATTACAGTAACTTTTAAAATGGTATATAAATATAAAGAACTTTCAAGAGATCGTATTTAGTTTTAATTTAAAAATAAGTTAAATAAGTCTTACATCAATTAGTCAATTTAAAATTGTCGAAAATTAATATTAAAATTCAATTTTAATATTTCCATTTAATATTAGAAAAATGAAATTGTTAATTACTTTTGGATTTATTTTAATATTGAACGCAATTGTAACACAAGGAACTTTTGTTAAAAAAGGAGGGAGTGGTTCAGGTTGTGGAACATGCGGTGGTAAGGGTGGTGGTAATAGAGTACCGGTTTACAGACCTCCCGTACACCAACCTCCGGTACACCAACCACCAGTACACAGACCTCCAGTACATAGACCTCCAGTTCATAGGCCACAGACGATTCCGGTTGTTGTCGTGCAGGTGCCTGTCCAAAGACATCCTCCGGTTCATAAGCCAAAGCCAAAGCCACGAGGTGGCAGTTGCGGAGGTTGTGGAGGAGTAGTATCACAAGGCAGCGGACATCCCGGAGGAATTGGTTATGGCGGTGGTTTTGGATTTGGTTTCGGCGGCGGAAGTGGAGGTGGAGGGGGCGGAGGAGGAGGAGGTGGTGGAGGAGGAGGAGGAGGAGGGGGAGGGGGAGGAGGAGGTGGTTTTCATTAACCGTTTATCAGAAAAAAAAATTGTTAAAAAATTATGCAAAAACTTTATAATAATTAAAAATTCACAAATCTGACAAATTACTTTAGAGTACCTATGTACATAATATAAAATGTAAAATAATATAAAATTACATCTAAAACTGTAGAATGTCACTTAAAATATTAATTAGAATTATTTTTTTTTAATTGTTTTTTATAATAAAAAGATAGCGCTTCATAGTGAATCAGAAAACAAGTGATTTTATTTAAACTAAGATTATAATTAGACTAGTTTACTAACTGTTATAGAAAGGCAAAAGTCTTTTCAACATTAAAAAGTTAGCAAAACTGAGTAGTACGAGTAGTAATCGTTTAATAGTAGGGAAGTGGTGTATTTTCATTACTAATAGTGGGGAATAAGTGTATGTGGCTCACTGTTATGTGGCCACTTTTATACGGGTTTGACTACATTATTTGGGTAAACGACTTGTATTTCTTACTTGAATTACTCAATACATGGGACAAATAAGAACAGATCAAAAAAATTTTTTAAAATGTATGGAAAATATGACATATCAGAATTTTGGCGGGTGGAACATTTTGCACTCACAAATTTAAAAAGAATGTGGATGTGGAACAAACTTACAATCCAGAAGAGATATTAAAAATCGGATTTCAGATTCGAAAATATCAGGAAGAAAATTGTGTTGAAAAGTTAACTTCAAACTATCACGTATCTTTTATTTATTTGGTTACTTATTTCAATCACAAAAATGCCTAAAGAGACAAGTCTCATTTAAAGGCTTTATAAAAAACAATAAAAATATGTTATACATATGTATATTTCCTAAAAGCTTTTCGGAATTTAAACAAAAGTGCAAAAAATTAATAATTTTTCTTTAATTTTTTTTTGTTTAGTGTTAATTCAGTTATCAAATTTTTTAGTAAAAAAAAACAATTTCAAAATTTAATTATAAGATTTAATAGAATTTAGTTGATTGGTACTCTGTCGTAATTATTAATACATGTTTCTCGAAGATTCTTTTTCAGTTCCGACTTATCGAGTGTCTTTATATTTTCAGGAATTTCATTCAGATGTTTCAAATTTTGTTGTTCTTTTTGTCAAGATGAATCAATTGCTTGCTTCTTATGTTGGCTTCATGATGATCACTTCTTGCACGTAGTAAGTTGTATGGTAAAATAAATTTCTTCTTTAGAAATATCATATTTTATAAAATCTTTTATCAACATTATCATATTCTGGCTATGAATGAATTCGGTATGCTCAAGCCTATTATAGAAGGACAGATTCTTTAACGCTTGGTTTTGAATGACTTGAAGCTTGCCATTATTTTCTTTGGAGTAAACCCTCCCTAATGTTAAAGCATATACCTCACATGACTGTGGAAAACTAAATAAAAAACGGATGTCTTAATGCTGGTTGGAAGAAAATATGCAATTCTTTTAAAGACACCAGCAACGGGCGACAGCTTCTTAAATAAACATGTTTGAGTTTTCCAGTTAAGCTCAGAGTCGATCCATGATCCAAGGTATTAAAGTTTTCCACTTGCCCTAAAATTTCATCGGAAATTACTATTTTTGGTGATGGTATTCAGCGTCAATTTATGATTTTGTATTCATTTTACTAATTTTGCTAAATTTTCATTGATATTGTTTTTTAAGCCGAGGTAAATGATATGATTAAAGACTAGACACACATCATCAGCGAATAGGAATATCTCTGCATTTATGCCGACTTGACCTATTCCCTCCATGTAAATTAAAAACAAAAAAGACCCTAGAACAGTGCCCTTTGGTACATCAAAAGTAATTGACTCATGTACGTATGTGTGCACATATGTACGATTCCAATTTTTTCATTAGAAGTTAGTTAATGTGCACAGAATCCAAATAGGTATAATTTACAATTTTTGGTGCAAGCCAAAAAAGGGATTGAGATAATTGAATACCAAAAATTAAGATAATAAAATAATAAAAATGTAGGTAAGTTTATGATTAATTTCGACTATTATAAGAATTGAAATTTAGGAACAGAATACGAGTACAAAGAGGAAGCTATAAAAAAAATAAGAAACTGAATATAAATTTTTATTCACAAAAAATAAAGCTTGAATAATACAAAAATTTAAGAATTTAAATTTTCATTGTTTTACACCATATTTTTAAATTAGACCTTAGATATTCCTTGTAACTCACTTAGTGCAACTAAATGTCGCGATCTTTTTTTCGAAAGTTTTCTTTTTTTTGATTTTGATTGTTTAGTTTTTCCTTGTGATTTCTTTAAAAGTTTAGCTTTTCTTCTTGCTATCCTTCGTCGTCTTGCTTCTTCAGGTGTTTCTACATCACCTGCTGCACCACCTGCTCCTCCACCAGCCCCAACCCCAGCCCCAGGAGCTCCAACACCGGCTTCAGCCCCAGCTCCCGTTCCTCCTCCACCTGCTCCATTCATTACACCACCGCCATAACCTCCTCCATAACCGTAACCATAACCATGATGGCATGGAAGTGCTTCAATTAAAATCAGTAACGTGTTAATGAAAATTATAAAAAATATTAAAATTTTCATGTTTCCACTGTAGCATACTTCGTTTTAAACTAAAGTAAATTTCTGCTTCACTTCGTCATAAAATAGTATGGGAAAACTGTAATGTAATTTTTAATTACAGGTACATACGTTTAAGCTTTTGTGTGAAACAGGTAGATATGTAAGATATTGGAAAACATGGTTTAATTTCTGTTACAAAAAAATAAATTAATTAAATTTTTTTTTTTGTAAGCGCATTTTATTATTAAAATCTATATTCTCATTTTAATAATAAAATGTACTTACATTAAAGTTATTTTGTCTCTGTATGTAGAAGCGCACTGCCGGTGGCAGAAGAACTGCCTGTGGAAGCGCATGTGTTTTAGAGTACGTATACTCATTGACTCATTTTGTTGATATTAGTGTGAGTATTTGTTTTATACATCGTTCAAAATTTAAAAGATATTTGAATTTTTATAAAAATTTAAATCCAATAGGCGAAAAAAAGATCTTGTAATAATAACATCACTCTTATGAGAATTGACAAAGAAGCACTTAAAGTGAAAGTAGTTAAAAATATTAATAAGTACGCGAATAATAAATTAATATTAATAAATAAGTGAACAATGAATTAATTTGCAAAAAAATAATAAAATTTACAATAAATTTGATTTTACAGTCGGTAATATTAGACCGTGCAGATATGCCATTACAGTTACTAAATAAAATAACACTTGATCAACTGGCAACTTGTCAACTGCAAAAAAGTGTTAAATCAGATTATCAAACTGGGACAGATTGCAATCATGAATAACTGTAAGAGTCTATAGTAAGAGTGAGATGTGTCGAACACATTTGCAGCTGTCATCGGCAACGAAACTGAATTTATTTGTTTTAAAAATAATTTTTTTTCATAAGTACCTAGATTGAATCATGAATTTTCATTTTTTTTAAATATTTTAAAAGTTGTCTTTGAATGTGTCCAAAAATGGTTCACCAAAGTGGTTTTCCAAATTTTGTATGTGATTGTTTCAAACTACCTAAAAACAATTTGTACTTTTCACAACTTAAAAACAATTTTATTAAATTTAAGAAATAAAAATTTAGTTTTTTTTTTTATGCAATAAAAAGTTTTAATTTTTTATTATTTTTTACATAATACAAATTATGAAATTGAAAATCGTTAATCCCATGCAATGCAAATCCATAATTATGAAATATGATAAAATATGATGTTTTCTTATCCTTTTTTACCGCCTTTTCCACCCATTTTGCCCATTCCTCCTCCTCCTTTCTTTCCGCCTCCTCCTCCACCACCTCCTCCTCCTTTACCTTTTCCACCAGGAAGTGGATCCGCAACAACGACAGCTGCTATTACACTTATGATCAATAATAAGAATGAAAAATTAAAATATTTCATATTGGCGACTTTCTAAATTTAAAATTCAAAATTTCGAATAGATTGAAGACCAAAATATTTTTTAGTGTATATAGCAATAAGACAAGTTGATAACTGATACAAAGTGTTGTTTAAGAGAAGTCTTTTATATACGAGTTTTTCACATAATCTTTTAACTTTTCACATAATCTACAGCTTATTTTATATATATAATTAAATAATTTAAAATTTTCATATTTTATATTATTTTTTTTCTAATTAAATAATTAATTTTAATAAAATTATTTAATTTCTATACAATTAGTGCAATCAAACACGATTTCTCAATATATACAAAAATATTATGAATAATTATATGCGAAAAAGTATGTATGTGCATATAATTTACGTGATCCCATAGGTAATATACAACAAATCGGACTGAATGAATTTTAAGAGAAATTTCAAGGGAATCACCATAATGTTTTTTTGATAAATCTGTGATAAAAATCTTTATAATTTATATTCACATTTAAATGTCGGATAAACCGGCTTCATTGCGATTTACCTGTACGTGATTCCAAAGATATTGCATAGTATGAGAAATATGTTAATGAATGTTGTAGTTGTTTGACATACTTGTATTTTATATATACAAATATTAATTATTATATTCAATATTATATTCGCTTTTTGACAAATGTATATTTTTTTGCGCTCAAATTAAACTCATCTTTTAAATATTGCATAAAATTATATGTTATATAGCTCGTATAAATGCAATGTACAGATAATTATTATTAGACGTACAATATTGAACTATTTCCAGTTAGAATGACGTTTTTCATGAGAAATAAATAATTGATACAATTATGAATAATAGATATAACCAACACGAAACTGTAGTAACATTAATTTTAAGCAAATTTCCAACAAATTCAAAAGAAATAACGTGTCCGTGTTCTGTCCGTTCATATGTGCATCATCTTTATTGGTCGCCATTGTGCTTGCAGACACAAGACCGGTCTCTAGAGCCATTCCGTCTTCCTGAGAAACCAACGAAAATAATCTTGTCCTTAGTAGATCCGAGCACTCAAAGAGGTATTAAAAAAGTGTTTCTTTTTTTTTCAATCTTATGAATTTTACCGACAGCTGGGATATGAAGAATAAAAAGGAAGTTCCAGAATTGCCGCATATTCGCCTACCGACCAGTATTCTGCGTAAACTGCTACCATGTTAGAAACGTCCCCCTGCAATATCGAGAGTATTGTCATCCTGGTCGTGTATTTACCCACCGACCAATGTCCAGTGTATAAACTGCTAACATGTTAGAAACGTCCTCTCGCAACATCGAAAGGAGTGGCTAGTATGACCAAATCTTTTCACATGCGCCCGACAAGCGATGGATGATAGTTAAATATTTCGGTGATGATGGTATCGAACAAATAAAAGGCTATTCAAATGGCTATTCTTAGACTATAAATTGTATAGAAGTCTAAGATATTCTATAGATTTTAAATACTAAAAAATGGTTAGTTTTGTTAGCATAAAATTCGTTTCATATCCGAATTCGACTATTATCAATATTTAAATAGATCGGCTATTAAAATTAGAAAAACTCTCCTTTTCTTCCAATTCATTGGGTCTTGGATCGGCAAAATTTTAATTTTCGGGAATCGATTTCTCGATTTCATCAAATTTCTGCAAACTCTAATGAAAATTTATACAAAGACAAGTATACTCTTCTCCGAAAACGAAGTAATTATTATTTTAAATCACAGTATTGCCGTATTATTCAATTATAATGGTAATTCTTCTTGGAAATGTGCTACTTTATTAATGTCCCATAGTGATTTGACTTGAATTTATTAATTTGAATTATTTTTTTTAATTACCTTATTAATAAAAATTCACATGTAATAAATTTAAACAATAAATTTCTAATTTTTATACTAACATTTACATACACGTATAGAAATCAATTAAATGATGAATTCAATGACTTAACCTAGTAGTGTATGTGTGTATATATACAATTTATATAATAGATTTATGTAAAAATATATAGAGTATATAACAATTCTGATCTCACGACATTATTATAATAATTAATTCAGCAACATTTAAGGGCTTTTCATAATCGTGCTTGTTAGTTCATCTCAAAATCAAAATATTGACATATTGGAAATTAATATTATAAAATTATAAATTCTTCAACAAAAGATTGTTTTCAAAACAAAGGAATTGTTGTTTTTATTGAGCTTATTTTACAAAAGTTACTCTTAGTTATTTTTTTTAGAATTTTAAAGTAATTAAGACACAATATTTCTATTCAATAACTTATGATTTAAAACCTTATGTTGTGGTATTCAATTCAATAAATAATGGAAGTAAAGTAACTAATTTAAAAAAAAACCCGTGCTCAAACCAACAGCTCCAAACCAGAGCTTTAAGTGCAGTAAATTATGGTGCATTTAAAATTACTAAAATTTAATATCAATAAATTGTCAAGATTATAGTATTCTTGGTAAACAAGTCGAGTAAGGTTTTGTTACATATGCAAAAATTATCAAAAATTCAGTATATACATAGAACTACTTTCACCTAAATATAAAATCATGTACAGTAAGCAATTTAAGTATTAAGACAACATAATCAAAATACCAATTTTTTATATTAAAAATTTTTTATAACCTTTTCAAAAATTAAATTCTACAAAATGAAATTTTCAGAATGAAATTTCTTAAATCAATTATGATTAAAGGAAAAAGAAAAAAAATTACCCACTCACATATGATTCATTCAGAAAACGAATTCTAGGAATTTTTTTTCCACATTCCATTCTCTATATATTATACACGATATACTCATATAAAAATTCGTCCTTGAAGAATAAAACATAAATTATAACTGTTGTCCTTGGACCAAAGCTCAAAATTACTACATATAACGAGATATGAAATTGTTTCGATAGTGATTTTTTTTCTTCTTTTTTCATATTATTTTGTTTTGCGAATCCTTCACCTTCAATTTTACTTCATATTTTAGTCAATGTATAAATATAAAATAATCTAAATTATAAATATAGCAAGAAATAAGAAATTTCTGTATCCTACACTCATCTAATATTTTATTATATAATGCCTCTTTATATATAAAAAAAATTCATATAGGCAAGCAAAAATAGCACATTATACTATTATTTGATAAAATAATTTTAATATTTCGAAAATAAAATCAATAATCAAAAATAAAACACAATTTCATTCTAAAATTATTGAAAAAGATTTTTTTTATACTTCTGCTTAATTTACTAAAAGTTCTATTTTCACATTCTACCAATTTCCTCAATTCACACATAGACCCCCGCCACCCCCCATCCGCGTACCCCACACACTCTTCCATCTTTTTCCTTATACAGTCAGTCATCCTTAATATTATGATAAAAAATTTGTCTTAAAAATTCACTTTGAATAATTTTCAATTTCGTAAATTGAATTTCGCCATCCTCACACCCTCTCTCCTAACACTTTAAATTTGAGTAAAATTTTCTCTATTCATTCATAATTTTTTTTTATTTTTTTTTTTTTGCTTAATACGCATAAAACATATAGAAATGTATAAATATTACATACATAAGTATGTATGTAAAAATCATATTCAAATAGCGGAATGGATGTTATTTGCCGATTGTCATCATAATATATGTAAGTATGTACATATGTATGTATAACATTAATTTCGTAAATTGATACTTTTCACTTCTATAATATACATACATATATGCATATCTACATACAATCAAATGAATGCACGACTAAAAAAAATTTGTATTTTGAATGATTTTTTGATTTTGTATATATGTATGCAAATGTATGCTTGTAAATCGTAATAAATAATTATTTTGTATATAGAAATTTCTCCCAAATTATAGAGTTTTCTTCGATTTTCTGATATACATATATGTATATAAACATCTTCCCCACCTACAATATTGTTCATTATATACACTTAAGTGTCTTTAATAATGTGTAATATCTTCTTAAAATACATACACGTTCGCATAAATGCTTATTATATATTATCATTCTTACATCCATAATATTACATAAGTATGTGAAAATTATTCAATACAACTAAGCATCTCCTTTTCATTCACATAAAAATATTCCGATTCTCTATATGGTTTTTTGCAAAGTTTATTCTACATAAAATAATAAGATGTAAAAATTCTTGTCGTCTGTTAGCACACATAGAAGATGCTTAACTTTCATATTGTTGAATATAGATTTATTTCCGTATCTCATGTTTAAATAGATAAACTTTCTAGAAAATCGAATACATAGGTTCGGCCGGCTATTTATGTGGCGATCACATAACATAATTTTATTGTACCTGTAGGCCATATTTGTAGAATGTTATCATTTATCAAATTATTGCAATTGGGCTTGAACAATCGGACAACAACCTATAAAATGAAACTAAACAATTGCCTAAATTTGTGTAATATTCATTTTTAAATAATAAAAATTAAAAAAATTTCACCGCTTAATTTACACGAATTTTTTTAACGCTCGGCGAATTTTTTTTTAATTAAATTTTAAAGTTATGGAAAATTGCATTTTATTGCTACTTTAAATATCTACTAACGTGTTTCTAATTATTTCGTGATAAAATGGATTTTTATTGTTATATTATACTTTTTTTTAGTTTTCTTTTTCATCTCTTTTCCTTTCTATTTTTCTTTTCTGGGTAAACGCAGATAACCCGGAAAATTTTTACTACTCCTTTTTATCACAATATAAAAATTAACAAAGACAAAAAATATTGTATTGTTTGTATTTTTCAGTATTTCATACACATATACCAGCATATTTCTAATTAAATACATATCAATGAATATTATCCAGCAGCCAATACAAGTTGTGTATTTAGAAAATAAAATAAAAAAAAAATAATAAAAAATAAAATTATATTAAATTCATTCTTCATTTTTGAAATACATGAATTAAGGGCCTCTCATTTAAGTACTGTAATATAACAATATTAATGTATAAATAATAAAATTTTTATATATATATGTGCGCATAGTATAAGTAGGTACGTAATGATGAAGCATAAAATAACGGTTCTAAAAAGGATAATTTTCCATTTTATGTTTATCTTATATCTTTTTTTTTGTTCTTCTTTTTTATTTTGTTGTATATTGGTAACGGCTTTCAATTCTGTACATATAGTAAACAGAAAAATTTTTTATCAATGCAATGACGTCAAAGGATATGAATGAATTTTGCGCAATGCATAAGTATAACACAATAATACATATCCTGGCCAAATAATAAATCTTTACTTGTATTAGAATCCACATTACAAACACATTTATATTTACATAAAATTCAAAGTATAACAATTAAACATAATCACAAAAAAAATAATGTCTGGAAGAAAAGAAAAAACTACATATTTCAAATAAAAATAGGAATCGCATTGTCGGGAACGTTTTCCCAAAACGGAAATATTGTTTTCCTATACAGAAATGTAGAGGAAATTGAAAAAAAAATGTTCTTAAAATTTTTATTTCACGAAATTTTAATTTATTCACAAACTATATATTTTATTACAACAAATTTAAATTTCAACTCGTATTTTGTTATAAATTAAAATGTACAAATTCAAAGGGAAATATTATATTATAAAATAAAAAGTAAAAAATGAAATAAAATACATAAGATGACAAGAATATATTATTATGTATTTAATTTTTATAGTCTTACACAAGTTTCCCAAATTTAACAAATTTAATTAAACAATTAAATTTGAAAAAAATAATTGCATATATTTAGGATAACCTACTATAGATTATTGAATTAGACAAGAAAATTTCCCTATTATTAATTTCACTTGTACTTACACATGTATGAAAATTTAACATAAATCAATCAAAACACTATATTGACAACTAAATAAGCTAAAAAATAATTAAATTTTTCAAGACTACATTATGAATTTAGTTAAAATAAAACTTTAGCTATTAGTCAATTATTTTCTACTCTTTCCAAAAACAAGTAAAAATACAGCAAAAGTAGTAAAAACCTTTATCTTTCCCATACATCAATGACGTTTCCCGTCAAATATCGAAATAAAAAAATTAATTTCTTGTCAATTAAGGTTTTTATAAATTATTATCGAAAACAACAAAAAAAAATTCAATTTTTGAACGGAAATGACAAACGATTTCCATTGTTAACCCAGAACAATTCGCAGAGGTAATTTCGCTTTATTTTGGTTTGGTCAGCTCCATTCATATAATTACTTATGTGTATTTTTATGAACTTTGGCATTTTGTCGTCGAAACTGACCCTTGTTCTGTTTTCAACTAGACTGAATGTAAATTAATGTTAAGATGTATTAGGATTAAATTTAATTTATTTAAAATTACTTATGTATGTATAAAAAATATAAGTAAGTCACTAAAAAGCTGTTGTATGTAATAAAGTTTTAAAAATTCACATATTCAAATATATAAAATATTTTGAAAATTGTTTATAATAACGGCAACACTTTTTTCAAGCAATTTTTATAAAACATAAACGAATGTACTCAATTCAGTATTGCCATAGTTAAAATGTCAAAAATAAAATTTTTTTTTTTGTTCCACATTAAAACTAATCACCTATGTGTGTATATATGTATGTATTTTGTGTCGTTTTTTCTTCTATAATTTTTTTTTAATGAAATTATACTTGAATTGAACAAAACGAGCAGAGGAAAAGAATTTATTCGCGATAAATAAATTTTTACCTTTAATCTTAAATTTTATTATAATCGTATTTAATTAATAATAAGAAAATATATATGTGTAAAATATTTAATGCAAAAAAATAAAATCGATTTCTAAAAAAAAATAAATTCATTTTTAGTATATGGAAAACACGAATTACAAGCTAATCAGAAGGAAAAATAAATCAATTAAAAAAAAAGAAACCAAAAAGCTATGAAGTATTTTTTTTCTGTGGACGACGATGTGAATTTCTAGTTGAAAGTTGGAAAAAAAATACATAAATATAATAAATCATAAAGAAAAAAAAAAATAAAAAAAGGACAACGAAATAAAAAAAAATGTCAAAATTTAAAGAAAATCAATTTTTCGTTATCGCTTGCAAAAAATAAAAAAAAATCGCTTTCATCATAATTGTGTGTAGTCAAAGTCGTCGTGTAAATTTTTTTAATCTTTACAGATGTTTTAAATGGTGTATCTTTTTTAAGTGGTTTTTAATTTAAATGAAATAATTTTGCTTTATTCTCTAATCTATTAAATGTAAATTACCTTATCCAAAACAAGAAATGAAAAAAAAAAAAATTAGAAAAATTGCAATTCAATTGAAACAATCAAGAGTTAAAAAAAATTTTGCGCAAAAAAAAATCACGGGACAAGAAATCTAAAAAAAAAAAACAAGAACAAAAAAAATAGAAAGTGATTTTTTTCTAAATTAACCACAAAATATATACATAAATGATTACAAAAACAAAAATATTTTACAGGTATCTACCTACCTTACCTACGTACTTACGTTACTTTGTAATAATCTGGTAAAGCAAGTCACAATTAATTAAAATTAACATTAGTTAGCCTGCTAGCCAGCCAACCAGTGTTGCTTTAATTACAAAATAAACACCTAAAAAATTATACGTGCCGCCGTCTTATCAACACGATTTGTTTTTTTTTTGCTAATTTTTTTTTTTTTTATAATATGGCACTAGTGTTTGTTCCTTTAAATCAATAAAGAATAACTTGATTGGGAAGAATTAAAATTAAAAAAATAATTCCATACAAAAAAACTATAATAATAAAAATAAAAATGTTGCCATTACAAATTAATTAATCGCATTTACATAAAAAAAAATTATAATAAAATTTTTTAATTTTTCTTATTTCTTATATTTTTGTGTTGTAATTGTAAGTATCGTTTTTCAAAAATACATAGTAGGCATAATATATGTAAATATTATGTGTTCAATATTAAAAGAAGAAGCATTATCTAAATCTAAAATTTTAGATAAAATCGGGGTGAATTAACTTACGAAATGAGGTGAAAAATATGATTTATGAATTTACCCCGCAATTTTGACATAACAAAATTTATTTAAAAACAAACGAGAAAACAAAATTTAAAGCGAATATTTTTAATTTTTTAATTTAGTTTTAAATTTTGAAATTCCCAAAAACAATCTCATAAGAAAAATAAAAAACTCATAAGACTGAAAGTTTGTCTGGCTAAAAATGTTTTGTTTTTTTTACAAATTGATTTTTTGTGAATTTAATTTTGTTGTTTCACGTGCTGTGCTACTGCTGCTGCAACCTTAAATAATAATTTTAAAAAAACCTGTACAGTTAAGTTTTTAGTAATTGAATGCTATAATATGTTTATGTACGTAAATAAAAGAATAAAAAGACAAAGAATGGTGTTCAGAACCATCGATTACATTCCAACCTAAAAAACAATAAAATGAAATCAGAAAAAAATATCGAAATTTTTGATTTTCAAAAAAAATATTTTAAGCATTGCTTTTTTAAGTTCTTCGATTTTTATTTTGTTTCATGTGCAACGCGTATAATTTAATGGTACTAGTGGTAAATGAATTGTTTTTTTTTTTTACATATTATAGAAATTATCGAAAAATTCAAAATTTACACACACCTTAAATCCTTTTTATAAATAATTTTTTTTTAATATCAAAAATTTCTACTATCGTTTATAATGTGGTACAAGAATCGAAAAGTGTTGTAAATTAAAAAAAAATACTATAATAAAATTATAGAAAGAGCGATAAGAAAATTATATATATACATAAATAGGTATATAATGTACATATATATACATATATCATATTAGAACAAGAATGTAAAGAGAAAAATAAAAAATATAAAAAAAAGGTTTTTACCTTTTTTTTTAAATAATTTACCCCTAATTACGACTATAAAAAATGTATAAATGAAAAAGAAAAAAAAAATTATTTTAAATAACAAAAAAAAGCTTCAAATAAAAAATAAACAAACAAATAGAGTAAGAAATTAATTTTTATCACACATCACACAAGAGTTTTTCTTTTTTTCTGATGATAAGAAATTTAAATATTTACATATACATATAGTACATAATATAAAATACAAAAAAAAAAAATTGTTAATTTTTAAGTTGTTAAGTTTCTCAAGTTTCAATACATAAGTAATAAGAAGAAACACAAAAGAAAAATCTTAAATTTTTTTAAGTATATATATGCATTGTATATCATACGCATAATATATATATATATATATATAAATATATATATATATATATACATACGAATGTACCTATACGGGAAAAAAATGGCTGAAAATTATAAAGTTCCATCAACAAGCAAAATACTAGTTGATAAACTGGTTCGTGTTGGTTATTATGAATTGGAAAAAACAATTGGCAAGGGTAATTTTGCGGTTGTTAAATTAGCATCAAATACTGTCACAAAATCAAAGGTATGTAATCTTATACAAATATATATATAAATATTTACTTGTATATATACCTTTCTTTTTCATTTTTATATATAAAAATCATTTTGACATACATCTATATGTATGTATATACACAATACGTTAAACTTTTATATTACCTATCTACCTACCTACCTACCTACCTATTATTCTCTTAATTTTTATTCTTTATTTTTTATCTTTTATATTCCTTTTGTATTAAAAAACAATGTGAATAAATTATTTATTTTTTTATATACATACATACATAAATATGTATTTATTATGTATGTTTCGATTGCTTCTTGCTTTTTTTTTTTATTTTCAATAAGAAATTTGTAAAACAAATTTTCTATCACAATTATACTTAAATATACTTACTTACCTAACTATCTATTGAAAAATTTTAAATGCTTATGCTAAAATATATTATAAAAAAGTCAATGTATATATATATATATATATATACGTATTTACTATACCTAGCTTAATAAAATTCCTAGTTTTAAATAAAAACCATTCTCAAAAAAAAAAAAATAAGAAATGATTTGATTTAAACTGCAAAATAAAAAAAAATAGCGAATACTCGTAACTACAAGTACTTATATGAGAATGTTTATAAATGTACATATTGTATATATGTATGTATATAAAATAAAAACCTGAAAAAAGCATCATCATTAAGAAAAACTGAATGCTTAAAATTTAAGTAACTAAACACGATATTCTTACTTAGTTACTTTGCTTTTATTTACTTATCGAGTTAATAAGTTAAAAAAAAAATTCTTTTTATAGGGTGTTTTAAATTTTACTGCAGAAATATGTAGTTCAATAACTTTTTGGCACAAATTAAGGGATATTAACTTAGATATAGCAGATTATAATAAAATTTTGTGGCAATTACATTAAAACAATTACATTAAGTGTGTATATACTCTAGTTAGTCTAGTATTTACCATGCTCTTATACTTCTCTTCAGACTCTGCTGATTTTTTTTTTGGTTTTTTTAACTATCAAAGCAAAATAATAATTTTTCTAAATTTTGTCTTTATGCTTCTTTTAAGCCGAAATCAGAATCCTAATACTTACTCCCTTATTCTCTTTCGTAGCATCATTTTGTTCCTGGGTTACCATACTTCAGCAAGAAACTTGCAGTTTAATAATTTTAAATTCTATATTTTAAAAGTTTGTTTAACTTACATAAGTATATGTGTGTAGATCATTGAATATATTTTACATCAAATGTTAAGCTTCCTATACTGAGTAGATTGAAGTTGAAATTCAAATTAATCCAATATCATTTTTTTGGCAAACATTTTTATTAATAAAATTTTTTAAAATTAATTAATAATAAAATTAAATGATAAAGAGAATAAATAAAACTGGTCAAAGAATTGACTAAGAATTGTCTAAATGTAAGATATTATATACGAAACAGTACATATACATACTTATATAATATATACTTATCCACATAAATTTTCTTATGGATCGTTTCAAATTCCTTTTTTCCTAAATTTCTTTGTTACATCTTTTTTATTTATCTAATATACGTACTTACATACATATATATGTAAATTGCACTTATAAGTATACATGTTTAAGGATTTTAATATAACCTTCCAATAATTCTTTATAATCATGTTAGTTAATATAGTTAGGCACCCCATAAGTTATAATATTTTACTATATGTACTTAAGTAAGTATATATGTATAAGTATTATTTTTCTGTTGTGTTTTTATTCAAAGCTTATAATAATATACAAGAATTGATTTTTATATATGGTTCGCTTTGATAAAAAGAGAAGCAAATGCAAAAAAAAAAATACAATATACTTACTCGTAATTCTAAAAAGCTTATGTTTTTAATTTGATTGTATATATATACAAGAGCAAAGACAATATACAGGCATTTATTTTACATATATTCATACATACGTACAAACTTTGTTTTCTTATTATAAGTGTGCGTTCATTCTTAGCTCTCTGTATATAGAATAGAATTAGGCGTTAAGCATGTGATTGTTATACAATTTTACAATGTTTCATACAAATCTGTCTACATGTATATTTTTTAATAACTTGAAATCCCAAAAATCAAAGTTAAGGGGTCAAATATAGTAATGTAAATGAATATTATTATTTCGTTCACCCCAAAGAGAATCTAAATTTACTTACTTACTTACATATGTATATAATATTACGAATAAAATTTTGCACATTAATTTTTTTACTAAATGAGATTTTTAATAGTTTTCCAATTTAATTAATTAAGTACTTATTTAAAAAAAAATTTCAAAGCGTTGATCATTGGCCATGTCAAATTATACTGTCTTTGTGACGTAGTAGGGTTGACTATATGTAAATAAAAGCAAAAAATTAATTGCAATTTAAAATGAATTAAAATTAATTTAAATTTGAAATAAAAACAAAAATTCTAAAAAAAAGTGCGATTTTACGTTATTTTGCGATGTTACAATATTCCGAAATTTTTCATATTTCATATTTATTGACATCTACTTAAATTTGTGTTATAAAAATTTACCTTATTTATGTTAAATGTAGTGAAGTTAGGCAATTCCAAACCTATACCTTTACTCTCTTGTGTCACCTCCTGCTGTTAAAAAATTCAGCACGAAAAACTACAATTATTTAATTTGATTCTAATATCCCCAACTTTTTCTCATCACAGGGGCATGTTGAATATCAAAATAGCTAAAAATGCTTTCTATTCAACAAATTGCATTACTTAATTTTATTAAAGTAAAAAATTCAATTTCAATATTAAAATGTGATTCAGTTGTTAAATCACCCACTTTAAATTCACAAGATACTTATACTTAATTTATTTGGCTAATGCGATAACTTATATCAGTCATGTATGTGTATGGTTTGTGTACATTATCAAACATGTTAGTCAGTTGGACTGATGTTTCTGTTATAATTACAGTTATATAAGAAGAACCATGTTTCAATACCAATTGCATATTTACTTGTAATAGTTTTGGCTGGTTTTGCGATGAAATAATATAAGAATTAAACTACAAAATTCATAGTTTTCAGTTTGAAATTACTGTTATCGCATATATAAGTAGATAAATGGTGCTAAATAAATTTTTATACATGAATATTTTTTCTATGTTGTTGGTTTCACGCATTACTAATTTTTTTTTCATTTTTACCATTGTTATTCTGTTTTCTTCCAACTATTTATACTAATAAATAATTACTTATAATGTTTTTGTATGTATGTATGTAACATATTGTGTACAATACATTATGTACTCATACAATATAAGTTAATAATTTTTAAATACATATTATTTTTTCCAAGGAAATGTTGGATTTGCGTACCCTTGATAATGAAACAATTTTCTAGCATTTAATAACAAAATATAAGCATGTTACTCATGTGTGTTGCTTTTATCGAATATTATTATGGAAGTTTGTTTTTAAATGAATATGAAAGAATAGCCTATATAATGGTGTGAAACATAAGTGTTAGTCAATTTATAATCAAATATAATATAACACTTATTCTTACATTTTTAACTTGCTGTCACCGAATCATTTTTAGTGAACGAATTTAAATGCACAAGTTCATAACTTAAAGTCTATATGTTCCTTTATATTCAACTTAAGCGTTATGTTTTTTTATGAATCTACTTACCGCACTTTATTAACGTACTTATCAGTAATAAAGTAATTTTAATCAATACAGTAATTTTAAATGAAGTCTAGTTTACTTGAATTGAGGTTTCTGCTTATTTTGAATTACGCCACAAAACCAATTGCAATTTTAAAGTGAAAATTTTATTTTAGACTCATTGAAGAATATTAAAAATTTGTTAACTTTTTAAAATGGTTACTCAAAAATACTTAAATAGAACTTTAGATCTATTTGTACTTAAAATAACTATTTGATTATCTAAATAAATATATGAAAAACTTTTAATATGTAACAGATTTTCTAATTTCGTCTTTAACCACATTTAATTGAATTTTCTAAACTTTTATTAAGTTAAAAGTACGTAATTTGTTTCTAACAAATTTATTCTGTTTATGGCAAATGAAATTTCATTCTATGAAATTACAAAATAAAAAAAAACGATAATAAAATTTATTACTTATATTAGTAAAGTTAATAATTTAATGAAAATATACAAACAAAAATTTAATTACGTTCAAGAGTTTAAATATTTATGGAGTATTAACGAAATTAATGAACAGTAATATTTGTAACAATAAAAATTCGAATTAAATAGAATTGAAAAATTGAGTTCTCCATAAATTAAAATTCTCTCACGATTATTTCGAAATTGACAGAAACAAATAGAATAAAAAACATTGAGATTTCATTTGATGTATTGAGAATTTAGAAAAAAATAATAAAAATTAAGATTTGTGATTAAATTAGAGCGTAATATGAACTTATGATTTTATCATGATAAAATATGCTTCCGTTAATTCACACTGGTCAATGTGCTTAAAATTTTTGCACTTTTTGCTTTCTTTGCAATACAATAAGAGAGAAGGAAAAAAATTTAGAACACATTTAATAGTGTGTAAATCACTAGAATATGCCACATTCAACTAAATAGTAAACTTGTATACTTATTTCAATACAAATTTAATTACAGCGGTTTTTTTTTCGGAAAAAATATTAAATTCCATGAGAAAATAAATCTGATTAAGTCAGCACATAACCAGGTTGCATTGTGTTTATTCTGAATAATATAGAGTTCAATAAATCTGCTTTTATTATTTTAATTAAGATTTTCAGATAACTATCCTAGAAACTTAAACTTAATTTTTTAAAACAAACTCTGGCAAAATTACAAACTTTAGCTGAAATTAAGGCGCACATGTACCTACAAAACAAAACTGACTGATATCTTTCTGAAAATAGTTTCCTTAAGATGTATTTTCAATTGGGAACGTGTTATCTAAAAATTTGCTTTCATTACAGTACCTTCTGTTTATGTATGTCATGCTTTTCATA